AAATACAGATTTCAGAATTCTCAGTTTTTGAATATTCCGTTCCTAAGGAATGAGAACGAATTCTAAATTGTATTTTCTAGCATTATACGTATATATATATATCGGAATGTTCATCTAACTCTGTCTATATTTTTTTTTCTGAAGCTGTTCTAGAAACAAAGAAAGATATTAATCATCATATATTGCAATTAGTGTGAAAGAAAAGTCAAGGACAACTATCATACGAATTCCGCAGTGGCGATGACGTCTATCACGTCTATGATAAGTCGCTAGTGATGTGTCTGTAGCATCTGCGATGTCTGTCATATCTGTTTGTGGGAGGGAGAGTCCAAATTTCTACTCCTATACTTTTTTTAGATCATGTTTCATGAAAACGTATGAAATATAGTGTTCAGAAATTCTCTACAAAATGAGACATCGCAGAGTTCTCTGAGACGTTTTTTGACTGACAAAGGAAGGAACCACTCGAGATGATATCTTGTATTTGAAATGAAGCCTCAGTCATTATGTAGAGTTCGTTGATACTGGAAGGGTTCTTTCCCATATGCTACCCTTTTCTAGTTATGACCGTCATAAGTTTGTGGCAATGCAAAATTCGAGCGGTTTTTATTTTTATACATGGTTGGATGTAGCTCGACGAACTGAATCCGAATATATATATATTATATTAAAAAAAAAACAAGTTTTTAATGTCAAAAACTCAAAAAAATCCGAGCTTCGGAAAATCTGACGTTTGTAGAGAAAAGTACCTACAGTGTTCCTTTAACAAAATTTGCTATCGCTTTGAAAAGTTTTTTTTTTCTTAATCTACGTGATAAATTGATTCTAAAAATGTAGTTGCTGATCATTCAGCTCGATGTGATCAATCTAATGACGGTAAAATAAAGGTTCTATCTTTATTTTTCTTAGGACAAAATGTTGTTTCCGAGCTGTTGAAATATACGACATTTCTTAAACATACAGACAAGAACTGAATGATCAGCAACTACATTTTTAGAATCAGTTTATCACGTAGATTAAGAAAAAAAATCTTTCAAAGCGATAGCAAATTTTGTTAAAGAAGTTGTCGGTACTTTTCTCGAAAAACGGTAGGTTTTCCGAAGCTCGAATTTTTTTGAGTTTTTGACATCAAAAAAAATTTTTTTTCCTGAATATAGTATATATATTCGGATTCAGCTTGTCGAGCTGCATCCAATCATGTATAAAAATAAAAATTGCTCGAATTTTGTATTGCCGCAACTTTACTGAATTTTTTACCTTTGGCATAGTATTTATGAAAATACCGGACTGATGAATTTTGCCTTAACACTTTACCTATAGGTAGCTTTTTGAAGTCATTAGAATCTCAGCCAAAAAGAATGGTCTCTTTTTGAGATATAAAATCCACGAAAAACAAACTAGATTTTCCGTCCTTTTGATGGAATATCATGATTTTTTATCGATTTGATATCTCGAGAAGAAACCACTCTTTTTGGGTGAGATTCTAATGACTTCAACAGCTGTTTATAGGCAGTAGAGTCCATCGGATTCTACTCGAACCTGACTGGATCCGAATCTAAAAATTCATGGATCCAATAGACTCTAATGAGCTAAAATCAAAATGACAGTGTATACAAAAGAATTCTTTAAGTCTTAACAGACTCGACGTAATAATTAGAGTCTTATCTTAAATGCGATCTATCACCTTGGATAGATTGGAACGATAAATAAAAGTGACATCGCTAATTAGAAATATGTCCTTCTGAACAAATGAATCTATTTTAGAACGGTACGACGTTCGGATGATAATCGTTATATTTCTCCAAATACTCAACGTCGAAATATTCCTGTATCAGTTTTTGCACCGGCTAAACTTGATAATAAACGTCCTGCACCTGCTCCACCAACATCAAATTTTGAATCTCAAAATCAATTATCTTATTCATCACGTATAAATGATAATAATTCTATGATGAAATTAAATGAAAATCAAATGAATAAGAAAATCTCATCAACGAATTCAAATGTTAATATACCAACAAATATTGTTATGAATGAATTTAATCTCACAACTGATAAACAAGATAATAATAAAAAAATGAACGTATTTGAACGATTATTTCGTGGTAATAAGAAAAAAAATTAAACCGAATTCGTTTGTAGATATTCTTATATTTAAACGAACATTTTATATTCATCTACGAGAATGACTCATAGATTATCTTTTTTTTTTTTTTGTTTTCTATTAAGCGTTTATACTATTTTTACCGGTTAGAACAGCGAAAATCTTTACTAACGAAAATATTAATATTTATTCATAAAAAGTACCTGTTTGTTTATGTTTTACTTTCTTTCCTTTTTTACAACAAACAGTGTCTATGTTTCTCATATCATTTAATCTAATCTTCCTTTTACTCACACTTTCTTCGCATTCATATCGAAGATAATCTGTCTCTTTACACGTTCGTTTGTTTTCTTTTCCTTTTTTTTTTTTTCATTTGTGCTATTTTTATATGTCGATCAAAAGATTGTCATCTTTTGCCTGAAACTTAGATTAAAAAATAATCAGGATGGAAGAGATAGTGCTTTATTATGCTAACCATTTGTTTTTTTTTTAAATATAGATTTTTGAAGTAAAAAAAAAAACAATAGTTGTTGTTGTTGATCATTAAATATTTGTATCCAGATTTTCTCAAGGTTCAACACTATTCAAAAATCGATACAGTGGTGTATACACATTAGATTTTTTAAATCAAGAAATGATCTTATTGAATTTCATTTTTCTAATCAATAAAAAAACAAACTATATTATCGATGTTAAAATATAAGACAAGTCAATGTTTTCTGAATAACTTTCGATAGGAACAAGAGATAGAAACTTGTAATTTTCACCATTGAAAAGAAAACAATATTTTCTAACGATGGGTGATTATAAATTTTTGAGAGAAAGTCTTCCTTTACAAATCTATATATGTCCCATTGTTTGATCAAATACCACTTGCGGAACTTACAAAACACCTTTAATTGGTGAGCTATTGAACAATCACGTGAGTTTTTAGTCGAGATTTTGAAAACAACATTCTGAAGCCATTTCCTATTGAATTTTAGCTTGTAATATAGCTTTTTTCGATCTATGCAAGGTCAAGCTCTATCGCTTGTTCCGTACAAGAGCTTTATGGAAGTTTTCCCGAGACTCTCGATTTTGGTCTAGTGACTCTGCCAATAACTCCTGGATGGAATAAGCTATACACCTCGGCATAACGTAGATCGAAAGAAGATAATTTTCTCTATTCAGTGGTCATATTAACAGTCCAAATTCAATATGAAATGGCTTTAGAATATTGTTTTCAAAATCTCCGGTAAAATCTCACCTGATTAGTCAATAGCTGACAAATCAAATTTCGATAGAAAATATTTTTCTGTCCAATGGTGAAGACCGTAGGTTTTTATCATGTTCCTATCGAAATTTATTCAGAAAACATTGACTTGCCTTATATTTTTGATCATTAAATGCGTATTAAAAACACCTAAAATTGAAATGTTTATTTACTAGTGACATCACGATTTAATCTATTGATCGATGAAGGCTTTTCATATAGTTGTTTTTAATTCGTTCGCAATCTTACCGATTGACCTTGTACATTTCAAATCTTATCTTTACTCTATAAAACTTCAATCATTAAGACCTTGATTCATTAATTAAAATCATAAACATGTCTTGATAAAGTCATATCATAAATATATCAATAATGACAAGTACTTGACATCATAGACTATTTATTACGTCAAAATAATAACGACTATAAGATAAGAACAAAGAAAATAGTGTTTTGAAGAACCTTTTTTTTTTTACTTTTTAATAAAGTATAAGATTAGAATAATAAATCTTTTTGTGTAACAAATTTCAACATTGATTGATGTATTATTGAGACAAGATAGAGGCGACAATTTATTACTCGACATGTACTAAAATTGTACATTTTTACTATATTTTAGTGACAAGTTTCTAATTTTGATAGATCAAAATTAATAGATCACGATGTACGTGTTGATTTAATTCAAACTTAATGCAGAATTATTTTTTCTAGTAAACATAAGACTTTATATATTTATATATATCCATTATTGTTCAGCATTTACGTTTATCTAATTTGCATATGTTCGAAATTTATTCAAAACTCACAAAATTTCTAGTTTTTTCTTACACGGTTATATAATGAATCACAAAGAAAAAAATGTGGATATTAATGTCGTTGTTTTTTTTTTCTGTATTTCAAGGTAAAACAAATAGTTATTTCACAATCGTGTGAAATAATGTCTGCCACCTTTCAATAAAATATAGAGTAATATTTCTGAGAAAAGCATCATTTTTAAAAAAAGAAAAAAAAACATATTTTAGTATTATGTTCTTACTAATAGAAACAAGATCATTGTTTCAGCTATCAAGATCTTGTATTTATAGGATGAAAATAATTTTAGACAAAAAACAAAAATTTTTCGTTTATTTTATACATTTTCAGATGTCTTACAGTAAACGTAAATTGGATGTTATTGAATCTGAAGTTGATAAAATTGAATTGACAAAAGAAAAACGTTCAAAAATCGATTCGACTACAAATGATTTTCTTCGTTTAAATGATACAGATTTTATTGAAACTGATTATCAAGCTGCATTTCAAACAATTGCTAATAGATTAATTAATTCATATGAATTAGTTTTAAATGAACAACATTTTTTTCGTTTATGTGAAATTGAATTTTATTTTTATCAACAAATTCGTCATCCTGATACATTTGCTCATCGTCATCCTTTACAACAACATCATTCAAATTGGTATTTTCATCGACAAGGTACATCATTAACAGCTGGTTATAAAGCTGGAAGTTATAAGTAAAATAAAGCAAAACAAAAAGAAAAAATTTTCTTTTTATTGTTTTTTTTTTGTGTTTCTAGAGGTTTAGATCTAACATTTAGTTCATTAAATGATTTATCATATGGTGGTATTCTTATTCGATCAATAGAAAATAAACAAACAGGTCAAATATATGAAGGAAGTTGTTTAGTTGTTGATGCTATATTAAATTTATGTAATAGTAAAACAATAAATGAACTTGTTGAAACAAAATTAAATAAAAATTTAGATATATTTAATAAAAATTCACATATTTATTTACGTTCAATTTCAACAATAACAAATCAAAAACTTATTTCATCACCACGTGTTGGTTTAACATTAAAAAATCCATCAATTGATCGTGAACGATTTTTATTTCGTTCATATCGTTTTACACCAAAAGATTATTATCCATCAAAAATGAAATTTATGATTTTATTAGCATTAACAGCTGAAAAATATT